TATATTCCGGTATCGCTGAGCCTTAGGAGGCATCGTGAGCGTAGAGTTTGGTGAAATCTGCTCAGGCAGCCTCAGAGGGTTGATGGTCAATGTCGAACCAGCACGATATTGTATTTTACGTGGTGTGGGAGTCAGATGTCAGGGTAACACATTCAACTCTGTGTGGTTCCGATGTCCACAAATCAGAACATACGGAAAATTCAACGAACATCTGTTCAGATTGACTGACATATCAATTGCTGCCGCTTCACACGAAGTCGAAGCACCGTTCATGGACGGAGTCTAGGCCCACAATGGTGTTTGCGATGTCTGAAATATCTGGATATTTGATTGGATACAGCGGTGGGAAGCCTGCTTGGAGGCCTGCTACGAGAGTTGAGGAGGGGAGTCGCCCGAAAACATCGTAACGATAAACGATATCGCCGATGAATACGAAGAAAGCTACAGCAACCAAACAGCCCAAATACCACGCTATCAGACAAGAACCATTTTGAGGTGGTATAAATAGCTAGCATGAATCCGCGAGCGCGATGTGAATGACATTGAGGAACTTTTTTTTGAGCTTACGGGTGGCTGTGCCATCTTATCTTATCTCTACAACTTCAAATTGCGCCATTTGAGGACTCAGGAGGGGAACAGTAACAGCCTTACCTTGTAACACACACGATACCATGTCTCACAACTCGGGTCTTAGCTCTGTTATAAGGGTTGCGTCGTTTGAGTATGGTTGGTTGCGTTTAGATTAGAGGCTGCGACAGTTAGTGACCATCATCCCTCATTCCTCCCTTAACGTCGCACTACATCCTTGCCATCCTACCTATTTAGCTATAACCCATACATTGGTCGTGTGTAGCTTCAGGTCTGATCTAAGGGTGTCCGACGATCCTTACAGCTGTTGACCTTTAATGATTTGGTTTGATCCATTCCCAAGAGGGGTGGTCCAATCTACGTTGGGTCATCAGGCGAACTTGAGTCAGGGCTCGACCCTTTGCAAGAGTCCACCGTATGAGTAACCTATCCTCTGAACAATAACTACAAGGCCAGTTAATTTTCTTGCATATATTTACGTGGCTTAATATTGAAACTTCGTATAACAACAAGTTGGCCCCATAAATTTCAACCTTTACGAAGGCTTTTCTTGCAACCAAAAATCACTCACCTGCGGGAATGCGTCCTCCTTAAATCCTTTATCGCCCCTCTAATAATGTTCGACCTGTGTAGCTCACTGGTGATGAGCAGCGCGCTCACCTACACCCGTAACCCATCAATTTCGCATTTTCACCATCACGCACGCACGCACGCGCTTCACATTACGACGCTTACCATCCCGGTCATCACGGCTTCGTCACCAACTCACGGCGCTATCGTATAACTACAAGCGTCGCTCTTTAGCATTACCATCAGCCGCCACAACACCAAACGGGATAGCCCCGACCGATGTACCTTACAACGACACACCTCATGATGCGTACGGGCGTTAAGTCCGTTATTTTTATCATTTTCTTCATCTTTTATTCCCCTTTCGTTGTCCAACTCCTTTATCCCCTCACTTCACCCCCTCCTTTCACCCATTTCAAGTCATTTCTTTTGTTTTAAACCCTTTCTTGTGCGCCTCGGCGCTTTCCTATTTCGTTTCGAACCCCCTAGTCAGTATTATAGCTCCGTAGTGAGTTTTGTACATAGTCTAGGAGGCTTCGTAAAAATACAGGAGTTACTTTTATGCCCACATTCCGAACCTCTAAGTTTTAGTCTCACATCTCAGTCCTAGGAAGCGTCGTCGGCTTCAAACATCTGTTTATTCTATCGCTACGAAGGCCTAGTCAACTACGGAAACACCTATTCGCAACCTCAGAGCGCCCTCTGCGACGTTGACCTCACGCCGGTCATCGAGTGTGTAATATCCCGCGCTTGAAGACGTCGCGCGCACATCACTGGTTTTCGTACCCTTTGTTACGAAGCCGATCCAGGTCTGCCATTTGCTATGCCATGTGACGGCCGTAATCCCGTACCACAATTCTCAGGTTGAAACGTGGACGATGTGCCTCCTTGGGTCGAAGGCGATCACCGTTTGTTATACTTGAAGCAGAATCCTCAGGGTTAGACTAGAAGTACACATTTATTGACGTTTAATCATGATTATTGAAGCACAGATATATGTACACTATGAGTAAATCATATTTGCAAGGCGAATTTATATTGTATACCAGAGCAGTGGTCGTCATAGGGCAACTAGAAAACGCCGTGCAAAACCGTGCGCTGCGGTGCGCTGCCGTGAACGCACTACTGTGTCACACAGCGAATTTCATGGCTTTGCACGGCTTTGAACGGCTCTTCACTTGAGCACGCAGTAGCACGGTAGTGAATCAATAGGCAGCATACTATTATAGCGACTATTTTTCACAGTTTTCCACGTCTCTGTATGTCTTAGACACGGTAGGGACACGGCTCATCACGGTTGACCACGGCAGGGACACGGCTTTGCAAGGCGTTTCACGTCCTTGCATGGCTCTTCACGTCTCTGCACGGTTTTAGGTGTTTTCAGCACGGCAGTGGCACGTCTCTCACGCTAAGCTGCACGGTACGACACGGTTGATTAATACACTTAGAAAGGTAAGATAGTTCCATCTGTTTGTTCCTTCGAAGAGTGTTTACATCCTCAGTAGCACTGTATCTCAATTATCTTTCATTTACATATATTATGTGCCTATTTTACAAAGAATAAATGCCTTTTCCACGCCATATTTCGTGTTTCTTCTTCATATTTCGTCTTCGTCGTCGCCCGGTGCTCGTGCGCACCTTCGTCAGCGCATATATTTGTCGTTTTTGTCGTATTCACTGTTGTATTTGCCCCCAGCTCACATTATTATGCACGGTTATGCACGGTTATGCACGGCTCGCTCACGGTTCCGCACGGCTTTGCACGGTTTTACTATGTCCTTGCACGGTAATGCACGGTCGCGCACGGCAGATCCCGGCTTTGCACGGCGTTTTACCTATGCCCGTCGTCATACAGCGCAACATCGCAATACTAGTACTACTAACTCGGAAGGGATGCTCTAAACTGCGAAATTTAAACGTCATAATTCTTGTGCACACCTTGACCACAGCATATAATCAAATTTAGAGCACGGGTGAACGCCCCTTGCCTCATTGACGGCATCTTGAGTCCCGCCCCATTATCGGTGCGATCGAAACCTGTGAATCGGTTGCTGGTAGATAGAGAAACATCACCGGATCCAACGGTGTGTGGTAATGATTTTGGTCGACCTGTTCTGAGGAAAGATGAAGACCCCGGTGAAGCTACAACAACTGGAGAGTCGAGACTGACATCTGGTGACACCAGATCTTGCTGAATGTTGGGTGATAATGACAGCGCTTGGGTCGTCGTGCGATCGAGTGGCAGTCCGAAAGTCTGCAGCTCCTGCTCGAACGTTGCAAGAAGTTTCTCCGCTTCTTCAAGTTGGGGGGCGACTACCGAGGAGAGTTGCGTGTCACCCCGGATAATAGCCTCTTTCAGTTCTACCTGCACAGTCGTTATTTGAACCCGCAGAGTGTCAACTCGGCTTTGCAGGTTTTCATAAAGATTTGCTCCAAAGGCAGCCTCACGTAGATCTTGTGCGCTTTCGAGTGTTGCTTCAATGTGAAATAAATTTGGGTCCATTCCTCGAGATGCGTGATCGAGAATTGTGAGTGCGGAATTGAGCGTGTTCTCGAATTTGAAAAGCTTGCTGCCGCCTTTTATGTAGTCCTGATCAACGGCGTGAGTGAAGTACTATTTACGAAAGGAGAAAAATCGTCAAACCTGCAATATGTCCTCCTCTAGCTGCTTGAAGTTGCTACATGCGCGTCTCGTCGAACTTTCACCCCAAAGTATGTCCCACATCGTAGAGACGAACACGACATTCTTTGCAGAATCTATACCTGTGAGGGATTGGAAAGTCTTGAGCATCCGACGCTGACTTCCAGGTAAGCGGACACAGTTGATGGGTGTCAGGTAGAAAATTCGACCCAAGTCTCTGGCGCTGTATACAGGCTATTAGTAAGTATGCTCGAAGCAGTAACGGAGATTACCAGTTACCCAGTCTGTTCTTTCCATTCTTTTATCATATTTACAATGCGCATCTCCGATATCTTGGTGTCCCCGAAACCGGGTACATCGACGAGGTAAATCGGTATGCTGGGAGAAGAGAACATATTCTTGATCTGGTACAAAGATATGGATCGCGTGAACCCCTCCAGTTGATGACTAGATATGTCAAGCGAGCCCTTGGGCGCGAGTGATTCAATGAACTACACGATGAGAATCAAATAATTAAGAGCGGAAGACAGAAACCCCACTGTGCTTTTACCGGAACCCGTGGGTCCAAGTAACCTAGTTTGAATGAAAAAAATAACCCAAACCTGGCGTTGAAGGTCGAAAGAAGCGAAATGACAATTGAGGACCTACATGAAGATGAATACATTCCTTGTGGTTGGTAGGTCTGTTACCAGTTCCACCGTGATTGGTCCATTGATGACGAGTTCTTTGTACGAGTCCGTCGGAATACCAAGCTCGCTGCTCATCCCGCTGCTTGTACTATGTGGACCTCCAATGTCTGCTGACAAAGTTGTTATGGTGAAATGCAACCCCGGATATGACAATCCCAGCTGACGTGGCAGTCGTGAATACGTCCCGTGCCCAACTTTGCAGGAACCTCACACGATTCAGGTTGGGGAGGTACTACTTATGCGTAAGAGATGTATAAATAGTTACAGCCTGGGTAGACCTCAGTTGAGCCTTCGCACTCTACATATGAATTCAACGTGGAATGACCACAAAAACGTTCCGACCATTGAGAATAACAAATGGATCACTGATCACTCCGCGCGGTGATGCGCCTCTGAGGCTTTGAACTCGGACAGGATCAAGGGATTTGATTCATGGAACGGATGTATAAGTAATAAGTATTCAAAGTTTCGAGCCAAAGTCTACGGAAAAAAAATCTGGGATACCAAAGTTATGCATTAAGAGAGAATCGAACTCCCGGCGGGTCGAGTTTAAATGGCAACGACCCAGGTTACCACTACCCCATTAATGCGATACGACTTGATGGTAATATCCCTGCTTATCCTGAGGACGGACATTCGGTCTGAACAACGGAAAACCATTCATCAACTTCATCATGATCATATTTGCATAATGTAGCGCTCAGGGGTTTCAAACGCGAACCGCTCTACCCTACGCACATATCGTACTATTTTTGGACGACCCCTGTCCATCACATTCGGCATGCACTGCATTCGCTCCATGTGTTCTGAATAAATGACGTATCTGATGAACTGGTCAAGGTAGGTGCGTTTGAGCCATTAATTGTAAGGGAGGTAAAGGAAGAGAGCTAGGAACGAGGTGAGCGATCGATCCGCCTAACTAGTAATACTATATCCGTACTCAGTTAGGTCGTCACCTTTACATTCGTCGACGGGAAAAGCTCTGTTGGCTGCTGAATGTTGTGTCCGTAATCGAGCAGAGTTCCGCTCGTTGAGGCTGAAGTGAATGATAGAGCGTCAAGAAGCCCATTTCCCCTGGCCTCGAGCTCAAATTCGGACCATGTGGTGCTAATTGGACGTGCGGCGACATTTGAGGATGCGATGAAAAGAAGAATCCAAACGATGCTGAAGGTGGGGGTTATGAAGCTGATGAGACCTGCTCCATTCATTTTGTGAAAACTGACGGCCTGCGTCGGGGTGAGGAAGATAGGGCAAGGTGGATGAGCGGTGAGTTATAAGGAACAGTTATGGGGTTTGTTTCATATTCTTCGGAATCAGCATCGATTTAGAATAGGCTCATACCCAATATGAATAGTTTGGAGTCGTTTGGAGTCAAGGCCCCACCAACACAGCCACAGTGGTATTATTATTTCATCACTCCATGAAGGGATAAAATAAGGACTGAGATCCGCCGTGCCTCCAACATAATGAACCTCCGGGCTCGACGAGTTCATGATGTGAATTGGACAAGGACAAGAACAGCTATTATAAGACATTGTTCCTAAACAGTTCAAGTTGCATCAATGCAACAAATCTTAACATAGGGATGGATCTAATCCGCTGTCGGAACAGATTGGGTTGGGGAATTGACGCTCCTCCACCTTCACCTGACGGTCGTCAATGCAGAGCGATGGGTCCAACCCGCTATCAGCACAGGTTGGATTGGGGAATTGACGTTCGACGACTTTGCGATCGTCGACGCAGAGAGAGGGGTCGAGACCGCTGTCTGCGCAAGTGGGGTTGGGGAATTGACGTGAAGAGATACCAGCTGGCATTTGTGTTAGCCAGGGAGAAGGAATAGTGGGAGAAAGTTCACATACCTGAGCTGGGTGGTTTGAAGAGCTGGACGATGGGGAGAGCTTGGACTGTCGTTGCGAGCAGGGCCAGTTGAAGGATGGTTGTTGAGCGCATAGTGATTGTTTACTTTAGGCTAACTTGCGACGATCTCCGAGTCTTCAAAAATCCACGATGAGGGAGTTGATGACTGACATTACTGAAAGACACTCCTCATTTATAGCACGATTGAATGAGGCGCTTCGTGCTTAGCGGTTGTCGAGGAGCATGTTAGGTGGTCAGATGAATCGTGTTATTTGGTTTCGTAGCCAGGTTAACGATGCTTCTTGGGATGCAACGAACATGTTGGCACCTGGTATTGGGAACGCGTTGTATAAATATATATTGTAATTTACACGCACAGGCGAAGTGGGAGCATAGGAGTTGCGGAGCTCATGTTCAGGTGAATCTCCTGAAAGGTCATTGATGATGAACACGAACGTCAAAGTTCAGTGCGTCCATCATCCCACCCGACTATGTCGTTCCATAATACCAATCGCGCCAAAAACTAGCTGTGTCCAATATTTCTAGAGTAAAAAACCTATTTGACGAATAGGGCAAACGGATGGACTCTATCCGGGTGAACATTAGGCGCTGTCCATCACTGATGAAGCGTGTGAGAAGAAGGTAGGGCTGTTGTCGAGGTTCTGGGGTGGGGCTATAAGTCCCAGGTCTAGTAATTGAAGGGAAGTTGAGCACACTGGAGATATAGCGGTAGATCAGCGCTCGTGAAGTGTTGTTATGAATGCGTATTTTCAGAGCGTCGTCGGTCGTGACAGGATCAAACCAAGGACTGATTGTTTGAGATACAATAGGACCCGGTCCTGAACGGGAGTTGGGTTGTGGAGATTGTGTGGCTTTAAGGGTCAGATGAAGATCAAATTGAATTAACACTTCAGCAAGTTCATATGTAAAAGTGGGACAACTGGAAATGTGACTCGCCGAAGCGCTGAAGGAGCGCAACACGCGTTGTTGGTTTTTGTTTGCACCAGGGGGTAATGTCAGCCTCTGGTGCTTAAAAACAAACAAAGCATCACATCAAGCCACCAACACGCCGTCCACCCAAACTCCCTTGTCCAAAATTATGATGTACCACGTTCATCACCTTTCATAGCCATTGATTCCAGAAGTTTCTCTGTTGACATTGTACTTACTATAGATGTTCTTATCGATGCCTTTCAACGCACGGAACCTCATCAGGAGCGAAACATGAACGTCCACGTCACTCCAGACTTTCACCTCGTTTCACCCCCTTCCTATCGATTGTCGGGCTCGGAAGATGGGTTCAATCACGCCTTTCACAATATTAGCTTTGACAGGAAGAATTGATCTATTTAGGAATGGAATGATCGTCGATGTGTGGAAGCAGAGGTGATCAGGTGGCAGTACCGTGGAGCAGTGACTGGTCGAGCAGTGGATACTAATAGGATATCGCGGAATACTCATCGCCACTGAAATGGAATTCGTGATATCGGGTCGAGTTGGGCGCAAAGCGAGTGGCCTGGGCGTTGCTTCGAATGGCGACAGCACCCTATTATGCAGAGGTATTTATATTAATGATGGTTGATTTTAGATTTTGATCGTTGCTAATCATCATGATATGTAGATGGACTCCAAGACTTAGACTCGACCCCGCCATCCTCGACCTCGATAGGCGACGTCACTGCCTTACCCCTTTCCTTGAAGAGTTTAGTGTGTCGTTACACTCTTTGAACCAGCCTCTCGTTACATCTTTCGGCGATCACGCCCCACCTGCGGACTCAGGGGGTTTTTAGGAACGCCAATGTGACGTGCTGTCATCCATCGATATGGGTCGAGGCCCCTTTCGGTGAGTTCACAATCGGATAATCATAGCATGCACCCTGAAAGCTAATCACGTTCGTACCTCACAGCTTGCCTCGGATGGTGTCCATTCTTTCTCATTTGTAGCTTGGAAAGTGGTTGAAAGCACGAAGTTTGTGTTGACAACTGCCGCGTTTGGTGAATTTCAATGCCAAGATCACCAACGGAGACTCCCGAGCGAAAACGATTCTCCCCCTCACCGATGGGGTTCAAATCCTATTCTTGCCATTTAATGGGTAAGCAAGCATCATTACACCGCCATCGATAATCACAATCAAATGAAAAAGTGCTAATTTCTTATATAAAGGGGCTTGTAACCACCACCACCACACATCTCTATTCTCCAACGCCCAACAACATCGTTTAGCTACTCTTCACCTCATCTCTGATTCATTATGACTCAATACTGGGAACCTGGCACTCAATACAACTACAACGACGTCGTCGAGTACGAAGGTATGTAGCTGCCGCGTACTCTATCAACTGATTTCATTCTAATTCGCATTGCTCTTCTCTTAAGGTGTTCGTTACAAGATCATCCAGCCTCACCGCTCTCAGGTACATCGAGATATATTCCATTGGCATCTTCACTATGCTCATGACCTTCATCGATTAGGGCGACTGGACTCCCCCTGTGACTCCTGCTCTCTGGGGACGCATGCAGGGCAACGACCACGGACACAGTGGTAAATGGGACCAACCCCAACAACAGAAGCCCGAGTGCGACGACAAGCCCCAACAACACCAGCAGCAGCAGCCCATCCAGCCGCCACCACAGTACGGCAGCAACAACAGCAACAACAGTGGAAACCGTGCGTACCTTCCTGATTCTCATAGCCGTTGATTGACTGACGCCTAAATTCATCATATAGAAGGTGACTCCGGTGATGAAGGCAAGAAGGGCAACTGGTTTGATGATCACAAGAAGGAACTTGGTGTATGTCGTTTTTTAGTCATCTGGCTGATGTCGATGTTGACGGTGACGCGTTCCACGTAGATCGCGGGTGGTGTGGTTGGAGGAGCTGCTTTGCTCGCTGGGGGTCTCTTCGCTTACAAGAAACACGAAGAGCATAATGAGGAGGTACGTATTCGCGCATACACTCCCTCTCCACGTCACTCATTCTCTCCCGCTCTCCATTAGGCTGCCAGCCAGCAATGGGCCTCCAACAACTGGCTCGAGGAAGCCCGTGGTCGCGCTGCTGCATTCAGCCAATACGGCCCTCAGGGAAAGCCCTACACGTGGTTCTTGACCTCTGGCAAGAACATCCCCAACGGCGCACTCCTTATCGGCACAGAGCACAGCTGGAACCTCTACGTCTGCCGCGCGCTCCATGATGGTGCGCTTGTGCTTGGTAAAGCCTCGGACGCGTTCAAGAAGGGTGGTGTTTTGGGTACGCAGAACAAGGAGGTTCATGTAAGTTTTCGCTGTTTTTATTCATCCTTCGTCCTTTCCTTTTATATTGATGTGTGCCTACAGACCGAGACCTACGAGATCCTCCTCGCTGACCCTAACCGCATCCGCTGGGTTCCTTACTCTGGAAGGTTCTCCATCGCCTCGCTCGGTGCCCAGCCGATTGAGGGAGGCCGTGAGGCGAATGGCACGAAGATCTATGTGATCCAGGCGTTCCACAAGGGCGCTGTGCACCCTGGCAAGATCGGCGAGGGATGGGATAGTGAGTTTTTTTCGCTTCATTCTCTCTCTCTGCCTCTCTTTTTCTCGTTCCATTTTGCGCGAGACTCCCGCTTCGATGTGGCCTTTTTCGCTCCCTCTCGTTGCTCTCCCGGTCTCTTTTTATTTATTTCGTTTTTTTGCTTGTGGAACGAACTCATGCTGATCATTTGTGTTTTAGCTGGATACATCCCCTACGACGGTCAT